GATGGCATCATGAGGAAGGAAAATTATGTGGATATATTGAAGCAACATCTCAAGACATCAGTCAGGAAGTTAAAGCTTGGTCGCAAATGGGTCATTCTCTCTACTATTATTCTGACATTTCACATTATGAAAATAAAGTGGTGATCCTAACTGACCTAAGACAGGGAATTTTTACTAGGATTAAATGTCAGAAATTGTGAAAAACTGAGTTTAAATGTATTTGGCTAAGGTGTATGTAAACTTCCGACTTCAACTGTACCACAGAATGTCATTAGACTAGGGGAGAGTAGTAGAATTGTAGTGGCCTAGTTATGATCTCCTTTACCCTAATGGCTATCATCAGTGGACATGTGGAAAGTGGAAATGCCCCTGATAGACTGTATGGGAGGTGTTACCACACCCAGGAAAACTCCCATGAATATTTACCAACCACAGCACACTGTGGGTCAAATAAGAGTTCCTTTCTATGTTGACATGTTGTTGTTAGCAGGAGTGTATTGTTACAATAGTTGTGAATAAGGCTGTGGTTTGCATGTGAGCTGTGAAAACCACCTTGACGTCCTTATGGGCAATAACGGTGAAATTTAAATGGCCCTCTTCAAACCCTTGTTTAGGAGATGAGCCATTTCAGACAAACACCCTTCCCTCACAACAGACCTCCACAACTGCTCTACCTGCTATGAGTGACTCCAGCCAACTTTCACAATGGGGTAATGCTATTAAAACAGGCAAGTCATACATTAAACACATCTCCAGCTGTCCTAAATCAGAGCAAAAGAAACCAGACAAAAACAGATCCATAGGAAGTGTATGCACATTTCTCTTCCATCTGAACAATGGGGAGAAGGTAGCCCAGGCCACAAACCGGACCTGGGGCCAGACCTGGCTGTGCTGTGTCGGGATGGGGAGATTACCCCTGGAGCGTCTTGGAGGACCCCTGCCTTCCTGCTGCCTGCCTGCCTTACCCCTCCCCCTCACCACTCACCCCTCCTCCCTCTCTGGAGGGTGATGGACCTCAGTGGACAGGATAGAGTCAGCAGGCCAGGCAGGACAGACAAGAGGCGGCTGGGGCATGGTAAGGGTTCCTGTCCAGGGATATCCTCTCTTTCAGCAGCATCGCTCCGCTTCATCCCCCTGGCCCGAGAGACGCATGCCCCACCTAACCCCATGGGAGTTCAGGGTGTTAGCAGGAACAGCTACGTAACACTGTGATAGGATATGATCAAACCTGGCACATGACCCCACTCTGAGGCAATGGTATGGGGGGGAGGTGATTCAACTCACTCTGCTGAAATAGACTGTCTGTGAGAAACCAAAGAATGCACCCTCACATCTATCACTTTTCAGCACCGTCTCCACAGAGAAGTGAGCATGTGAACCAAACACCTGAAGTGAGCATGTGACCCAATCACCTGAGGTGACAGAGTGGAGCCTTCTCTCTGACATTTCAAAGGCATTCACACAAGAGGGGTATCGTTAAGGGAGTCACGTTGTTTCCGACAGCCATGGGGTTGGAAGGGGGTTGTGACAGGGGGACCGCTCCGGATCTACGGGTATGAGGAACTGAATTATCCCGAACAGATCCTCCTCTCCAGGGCACAAAGCACCCCTTCATCTCCTTCTCTATCCCCTCCATTGTGAAGGAGCCCTCTCTCTGCACAGAAGCCCTCTCCCTCCCTCAGACCCACCAGAGGGCTAAATGAAGCCCCTGTCATCAGCCCCAGCACAGAGCCAGTTCAGCTGGACTCATTCAAGCCCTATGAGCATAACATTACTGCATCTCAGGGACTGACAGCTACACAGACAGACAGACAGACAGACAGACAGACAGACAGACAGACAGACAGACAGACATACAGACCTGGAGACAGGTACAAATGTGTGAGGTTTGCTGCGCTTTAGGACAAGAGTTGCCTCTGCTGATTCCATCCTTATTTGATCACAGGGTAAGTTTGTAATACAGAGCACATTTGGAAAGTATTCAGACCCCTTGACTTTTTCCACATTTTGTTACGTTACAGCCTTATTCTAAACTTGATTAAATTACTTTCTTTCCTTATTAATCTACACAGAATACCCCATAATGACAAACAGAAAACTGGTTATGTATAAAAAATTTAAAACAGAAATACCTTATTTACATAACTATTCAGACCCTTTGCTATGAGACTCAAAATTGAGCTCAGGTGCATCCTGTTTCCATAGATCATCCTTGAGATGTTTCTACAACTTGATTGGAGTCCACCTGTGGTAAATTCAATTAATTGGACATGATTTGGAAAGGCACACACCTGTCTATATAAGGTCCCACAGTTGACAGTGCAAAAACCAAGCCATGCGGTTGAAGGAATTGTCCGTAGAGCTCCGAGACAGGATTGTGTCGAGGCACAGATCTGGGGAAGGGTACCACAAAAGATCTACAGCATTGAAGGTCCCCAAGAACACAGTGGTCTCCATCATTATTAAATGGAAGAAGTTTGGAACCAGCAAGACTCTTCCTAGATCTGGCCGCCCGGCCAAACTGAGCAATCGGGGGAGAAGGGCCTTGATCAGGGAGGTGACCAAGAACCCGATGGTCACTCTGACAGTACTCCAGAGTTCCTCTGTGGAGATGGGAGAACCTTCCAGAAGGACAACCATCTCTGCAGCACTCCACCAATCAAGGCCTTTATGGTAGAGTGGCCAGACGGAAACCACTCCTCAGTAAAACACACATGACAGCCCGCTTGGAGTTTGCCAAAAGGCACCTAAAGACTCTCAGACCATGAGAAACAAGATTCTCTGGTCTGATGAAACCAAGATTGAACTCTATGGCCTGAATGCCAAGCATCACGTCTGGAGGAAACCTTGCACCATCCCTACGGTGAAGCATGGTGTTGGCAGCATCATGCTGTGGGGATGTTTTTCAGCAGCAGTGACTGAGAGACTAGTCAGGATCGAGGCAAAGATGAAAGGAGCAAAGTACAGAGAGATCCTTGATGAAAACCTGCTCCAGAGTGGTCAGGACCTCAGACTGGGGCGAAGGTTTACCTTCCAACAGGACAACGACCCTAAGCACACAGCCAAGAAAATGCAGGAGTGGCTTTGGGACAAGTCTCTGAATGTCCTTGAGTGGCCCAGCCAGAGCTCGGACCTGAACCCGATCTAATATCTCTGGAGAGACCTGAAAATAGCTGTGCAGCGACGCTCCACATCCAACCTGACAGAGCTTGAGAGGTTCTGCAGAGAAAAATGGGAGAAACTCCCCAAATACAGGTGTGCTAAGCTTGTAGCATCATACCCAAGAAGACTCAAGGCTGTAATCGCTGCCAAAGGTGCTTCATCAAAGTACTGAGTAAAGGGTCTGAATACTTATGTAAATGTAATATTTCCGTTTTTTATTTTAATAAATGTGCAACATTTTCTAAAAACCTGTTCTTGTTTTGTCAATATGTGGTATTGTGTGTAGATTGATGAGGGGAAAAAACTATTTAATCCATTTTAGAATAACACGTGGAAAAAGTCAAGGGGTATGAATACTTTACGAATGCACTATATGCATTTTTCCCTATTTATAGAAATTTTCAGATTAATTATTATTTCTTTATGTATTATTTTGTATTATTAATTATGATTAATACAAATGGGGGAAGGCATTAAAATGTGTGGTGGAATCTGTGTTTAACAAAATCCCCTCATACACTCACACATACACACTCACACTCAAATGCACACTCAAATGCACACACACACAAAATATTATTATTATCACTGCATTGTTGGAAAGAGCTCTCAAGGTAAGAATTGCACTGTACTGTTTTACACCTGTTGTATGCTGTGCACGTGGCAAATAAACTTTGAAACTTGAAACACAAACAACTCGATTAAGTCTGATGTTCCACATTTCTGCATTTGGGTTCTGTTATTCTGTTATTGCTGGCACCATTGGTGTTGGTGCCTGCGACAACAACTAGCTGCTGCCCACCAACACACCTACGCACACACACCAGACAAACAACACACACAATACACACACACACACACACACACACACACACTGACAGACAGATGCTCTCTCATAGCCTACACAGTCTCCTCTTCCTGCCAGGTGGTAAGCTGAAAGGACCTCCAGAACAGATTCATGGCAGAGCATCAACCCCAAAAGGAGAGGAAAGGAGGAACTTGAGATTGAAGCGATGATCAGACCAAAATAATTTCATATAAAGATGTACGGAGGGCCAACCAACAATTAAAAAGTGTTAAATACACTTGCTCAACAAACTTTAGCTCTATAGCTACATAATATTTTATGTAACTTATGGCTAAGATTGATATCAGTTTTCTACACACAATCAATCAATGACACAAATTCACATTGCTATTTAAAGCAGCACAGGGGATCACCAGCTCCACCCCCTGCTATAGCAGTCTACCTAGAAAAGTATGAAAAAAATGCATAAACTTTAAACACGAGCAATCAGTACAAGAGATTAAGATATAAATTAAGTGCCGTGCATTAAGTCAGTCATGTAACGTTTTGAATATAGCAGTATACCGCCACTTAGTGATTGAATACAGAATTACAACCCACCCGGAACTGAATGTCTCGGAAGAGGGGGAGTTAACGATAGGCGTTAACGATAGGACAGGGGAAGAATCTCAATTGATTTCTCCTCGCGTCCTCTCTTCTCGCCTCCTTCTCAAAACCCATTGGAGGAGAAGGTCAGAGAGGCGGGATCTCGGGCTTTCTTATCCAATGGGTTTTGAGGAGGCGGGGAGAGAGGACGCGAGAAGATCAATTGAGATTCTCCCATGATATTGACTTTGTGTTACAGTGTTATTTGTCCGTGTTACAAGCAGCAACTAATCGGCAAGCTAGCTAACTAATGGGGGTTGCGAGACATTGACATTGGCTTAATCAACTGACAAAAGCCTTTATGCACCAAAGACGGGCAATAGGATTACGCCACCCATTTTGGTATTTTATGACAAGCTATAGCTAGCTATACATTTTTTTTTTAGCTATTGTTGTTGTTGTTGTTGGCTCGCTAACTTGTGTAGCTGAATTAGCAAACTACTACTAGCTATTGTTGTTACAACAGATTACATTAAGTCACCATACGGAGGCAGGTCATGGTGACTCGTACACAGAAAAAGATGATAAGATACGTGGAAGAGGGCAGTTTAATGAAGCTGAAGTCCTACTTGCGGAAACACTCCGACCTCGACGTCAACTTCTCCCAGGGGAAAAAGCGCAGGACTCCCCTGCACCTGGCCTGCTCGCTTGGTGATGACGCCATCCTCCGGCTTTTGTTGAAGCATGGAGCCGACATCCTTCTGAAAGACAAGAAAGGGGACACACCTCTACACATCGCTGCTAACAAGGCTCTGAAACATGGCAAAAGAGGTGATGGACTGCCAGTATTAGCTACTAAACAACAAAAATATGTAGAATAATAAAAACATGCTTTAACCTTGTTCTTCTTTTTTATCCCCTATTATCATGTAGTATATGATGACCTCGTAGTGCCCCTTCAAAAGAGTTGCCCAGATGCCATGGTTGCACCAAATAATGCAGGAATTACACCTCATGACCTACTGCAATGGATGAAATTTGAGAAGGTATGAATGTCTCGGCCATATGTATGTGTTTCTAATATGTGTTTTAGGAGAGTGTTGGGACATAACCTCGTACAACCATCCAGAAGTCTTGCACGCTTCCATTCGGTAACCAGTCTGGTAATTACGAGGCTAGGGGCATGGCTGTATGGTTGTATTGTGTGTACTGTATATCCCTGAGCACTGATGTTTATTTTCTCCAAAAGACTGCACCGAAGGGGAACACTTCTAAAGAAAAAGACGCTGAGAAAGAGTGGCAAGAGAAGCTCTTTGGGGAATGCCAGGATGAGTTCTTTGAAACCTTTGGACAATATGATGGTAAGGTGGCAAGATTTCACTCCTGAATAATCTGATTTGATTTAGATCATTGTCCATTTGTCATTGTTGTTGTTTTTTCTCTTACAGCAGATTATTTATTTGAGGAGGATGCCGATGAGGAGGACTTTCAAGACTGGGCAGATAGAATTAGACAAGAGTATGTCACAAAACGGCATGCAGAAGCTCAAAGACTGGCATCCTCAGGCTCTCATGGGAAGAGGAAGAAAGGGAAGAAAGAGGCAGAGGAGGAGGAGCGGGCTAACAGAGAGCTGCATGAGAGGCTACAGAGGGAGCATGAAGAGTACCTGGCGCGTGCCGCACGGAAAGAAGAGGAGACACGTCAGGGGAAGAAGCAGCGCTACGAGGAGCGATGTGCAGCTACCTTTAGCACTGACACTGCAGCAGCAGTCACCACAAAGCTGAGTTATGGGGACATCCCCTGGCCGGCACCGAAGGGTTCAGTGGAGGAGATGGTGGAGGTGATGTTGCATGGCGCAGACAAGAAAGATGTTCCAGTGTTCCGTAAACTGCTCCGGCGCCAGCAGGCTGTTTGGCACCCAGATAGGTTTGCCCAGCGCTGTGGGGCTCGGCTGGAGGAGGGAGACAAGCAGAGGATCCTGGACACTGTCACTGCTCTCTCACAGGAGCTCAATAGACTGGCTCAGAGCCTCAGGTGACAGTCAGATTGGAAAGGGTCTTCTGAGATGTTGAACAGTCTGTCATTTAGCCACAACTATTGCCCTGCATATACAGGACTGGCCATCTTTCCTGTGGAGGTCAGTCGTTTTAACCTGTCAAAAAAAATCTCCACTTGAAGCACCTCATTTCTTGGATAAACTTGGCTAAGCTTCTTAAATGGTAACTTAGTCTTGTCACCATGCCAAAGTGTTAAGTGAATGACATATTTCTCTGACTGTTGTGTACTTCTTGGCACTACTATAGGACTTTATGGAAGAGATGATGTTGCTAGAGAAAATAAATATTTACAGTGCCTTGTGAAAGTATTCATGCCATGACAGTTTTCATTTCTCAAATTGATTAAAAACAAATAACCTGTGATTTCTTGATTGCTTAAGTATTGCTTGAATCAATACTTGGCAGAAGCACATTTGGCAGAAAACTGCCATTAAACTTTATGCACACCTTTGTGCAACATTTATCCATTCTTGGAAAAAGTTGTGCTGAGTTGGTTAGGGATCATTGATGGACACTGGACATCAATCTTCATGTTTTATCACTGATTTACAAACTGTCAGAACTGAGAATATTTGTACCCTCAAATAAATGTTAAAACAAGTTGTGTAAAGCCTGTGTGTAGACAAAATTATTTATAAAAAAATGCAAGATAAAAACATCCAATACCACTATTTAATAAGCACTTAGAAAACACTTTTTTTGTAAGTGCTACTAGCATCAATAATATGATCATGTCATGGTAAACCTTCAGAAAAAAATTAAAGTCATAAGACACTTGTTATTATGATGTTGTCAGAACTCCTGCCCGCCTCATTCAACATGTTACCCAACTGGATAAATTATGCTATTTGGGTTAAGGATTTGGGGTTATTGGCAGGGGATCAAAAGGACCATGACGAACTGCACAATTACACTCTACCCTCTAATCTGGCCATGAAGGCAAAGTGCTGATGAGCTCAAAGTGGATCCGGGAGAATTCTTTTTTACAGTAAACAGTTTGACGGAAATACACTTGACTTGACGGTAAAATTATAAATTAGTGGATAGCATTTATGAATCTACCACCACCTAAAATCCTCTTACAGGCCTACACAGACAAAGAAAGTGCAGATGGTTGGCCCTAATTTGAATTATGGAATTTAATAAATGAAAGGATGCCTTGGTTGCCAGATTAGGTCCAAATTGTAGAAATAAATATAGACTAATGCACATTAAAACAGGAATTAACATACAATTATCTGTGTTTTTGGAAATGTTATAGAAATGTTACAGAAACATATATTGACTGAACTAGGCCTAATGCCTGTGTTTATGTATATCTTGCCGCAAGGGCTCATAGGCTTTATCGAGAACAATGTGGTATTTTTGTATTAGTCATTTCGTAATCAAAATGTGGTCATATTTGAGTGTATAGACTCCCTACCTTTATACACTTGTAAGAATAATTTAAAACTAACGCCCTATGTCAAATCTAAAGATCGGGACTATCTAGCAACCAGGCGCAATCTGTGGCTATAGGCGGCCAACGTACTGCGATCAAGGCTGTATTTATATTTACTCACGGTTTAATTTATTTATATGTACAATTTTAGATATTATCATATGGCATGACTGATATATTATTTTTTTATTTTTTTTGCATAATGAGCAGTCTTGCACAGCATTGCGACGGGGATAGAGTTGACTCGTTGTGATAGCGACAGCTATTAAAGGTACAGGATGACGCGTATTATGTGGCTCGCTCGATAAAATAGGTGCAAAGGGATATACGGGCTAGGGTGGGTTACAGCGTATTCTTAGTTTTTTTGACAATTTAGGGTACCTAAGGATCTAAGAGCTCGAGCTCTATTATCATTAAATAACTAAGACGGCTACTGTTACCAGGCAGAGTAATTTTGCCAAATTGAGAGCGCTCATACTCGATACGATGTATTAATTTTCGGAAACGGTATTGCGAAACGTGGCATAGTAGATACCGACAGAGTTGTGATTTCGCGTTGGTATGATTTACTGAATGCAAGCAACTAGGCTACTGCTACAGTTCTCGTAGTGTAAATTAATAGGCCTAGGCCGGAGATTTCGTCAGCAAGGTGCCAGTGGCAGATAAGATGGGCTCGGTGTTCCGAAGTGAGGAGATGTGCTTGGCGCAGTTGTTTCTGCAGTCCGGTTCTGCATACGATTGCATAAGTGAGCTGGGAGAAATGGGTCTGGTCGAGTTTCGAGATGTAAGTATACCACCTGTCTGTCGAGCCTATGTGCATACTTGCAATGCAATAATATCAGCACAAGTGTATATCAGTTAGGCCTACTCAGTGCCTGTCAGTTGTCAATTATGTCTGGACCAAAATGTTTTTTGTGTCTGTCTGTCTGTCTGTCTGTCTGTCTGGGTCTATGTGTGTGTTACAGGACTGCCAGTGCACCCAGCATTAATCCTAAATGTGTCTCTCTATCAGTCCAGCTAATGTGATACTCATGGACCAATTATTTGTAAAAATAAAATAAAATAAATAATTACGAGTAGCACAAGCTGATGAAGCGAACCATTAAAAGCCTAATTTGATCACATATCGGTGTCCCCCTATTCTGTTGATGGCAGGTCGTATTGATGGAGGTCTCAATGCAGCTGTATGGTCTGATTAGATTTAGGGGCTCCAAAAACATCTTACCCAGGTACCTTGGTCACAGGGTTTGTTTAGTCTAATTGTACTGACCTGGCCTAGATTTTAAAAGCAAATGGATTTCGACATTTCAAAATGAAATGTTGATATTTGAGTGATACATTCTGCAGAATAGAAAATAATGGACTGGAAAGGCATCTATTTGATGAACTCCATGATGTAAGAATTGGGCCACCTGGCACAGTCACCTAAGCACTGTGCTCCTCTGATTTCAGCTTAACCCCAGTGTCAACTCGTTCCAGCGCCGCTTTGTCAGCGAAATCAAGAGATGCGAGGAGATGGAGAGAATTCAGGGTGAGGTCACTGAGATGGACACTAAACCAGGACTACTACTACCATACCTTTGATTTACTGGAGGGGTTTTATCAGGCTCTGGTGTACTCTACAGAATGACAGATTGCTTTTGGTAACAGCAATGCAGTGGGATTGAATTACAAGTCATACTAAATATAGTGATGACAACAGAGGGAGAATGTATTATCAGCTATTGCTAGATATTTTTGCTGTGAAAGACTTGCTTTGTGCTAGATATAGATCTCAGTTGTTCCTCCACAGATATTTTTAGCAAGGCCTCTTTATGTTTTGATCAAACGTGTCTGGGTTTTTCCAACTGTAAATGGATGTTTCAACAGATTCCCATAATGATTGTGTGTTCTTATGTGCTCAGTCCGTGTTTGTTTATCTGATTAAACAATAACTTTCTTTTCACTTTTTTTTTCTTTGGACAGGGTACCTTTTGAGGGAGATCCGAAAGGCAAATATTGCTGTGCCAGAAGATGATGAAATCTGTCCAGTCGCCCCTCCCCCCAAACATGTCCTTGAGATCATGGTAGGTCTAAGATGCTGTTTGTCACGTAAGAACAAGTGAGTGCTGTGGTTGATGGGCACTGCCATTGAGTGCACTGTGTTTAGGATGACTCGCTTAGTTGGTAAATGTTTCAAAATAGTATCAACCAGTGTTTAGGGTATTGATTGTGTGTTAATAATGGTTGAGGGGAACTGATTCCCAATTGATTGCTGTGGTCAAGGGTAGTTGACCGTCTGTGGTCTGTCTGCTGTGGTCAAGGGGAGTTGAACGTGTGTGGTCTGTCTGCTGTGGTCCCCCAGGAGCAGCTCCAGAGGCTGGAAGTGGAGCTTAGCGAGGTGGCCAGGAACAAAGAGAAGTTGCAGCGGAATCTTCTGGAGCTGACTGAGTACACGCACATGCTGAGGATTACGCGCACCTTTGTACACAGCCGCTCCCGGGTTAGTGCCGGGTTATCATGTCTATTTACACAACTATGACACCCACCATACACACTACTATCACATAACCTTGCCTCATAACTACCTCATGCCATTTAAGAAACACATACTCTTATCAGAATCACCCTTTGCTCTATTGCCCTCCCAGACGCATTTGTCTGTTGACAGTGACACCATATTTTGGCTCTTGCTGTCCTCTCTCCATGCGAGTTCCCATAACCTGGAGTAAGACAGGGTGAAGCAGAGACAGTGCTGACTTGATACGGTCACACCACGTGCATGAGTGTCACCTGACTTTGAACACTGAACACAATATGTATTTTGGTCATGTGATTCCACAGCCTATGATGCATGGTTTTTAGCTTGTAGATTACAGGCTACACTTGACAATAGTTCAACCATTATGTAATAACTTTGCTATTACAGATTTATACACTATCTATAAACTAGTCAATTAACAGTTTAAAAACGACTTAAATACAATTTTATTTAATCATTACCCATTTTTTAAAGACTTACCAATTTTTTAAAATTAAATCTAGGCTACTGGTGTTTGTGTGTTGATAATGCTAACCTGGCCTTTCCTTGTATGCAGCATGAGGCCCTTGGCCCCCAGTATGAAGAGTTCCAATCCATTGAGTCAGACTCTGCAGGCTGCACCGGTATGCAGAGACTGGGAGCCAAGCTGGGGTGAGTTTAACAGAGAAATAGACACTCACATTATGTGTAGCTAATCCCAGTGAGAATCAGCTTGAGTCCTGAATAGTAAAGTATTCCTCTTGGCTCTAGGTTCGTGTCAGGTCTAATCCACCGGGTGAAGGTGGAGGCCTTTGAGCGCATGTTGTGGAGGGTGTGTAAGGGCTACACTATCCTCAGCTACGCAGAGCTGGGAGAGAGCCTCGCTGACCTGGATACGGTGAGTAGAAATAGATAGCAATACAGATTTCAGGAATCTATGTCCACCATATCAATTAATGTAGTAATAAGAGGAATACTATACGTGTTGTGTGTGTCCCTTTCAGGGTGAGATCAGCACAAATGTGGTGTTCCTCATCTCATTCTGGGGAGACCAGATTGGACAGAAGGTCCAGAAGATCTGTGATTGGTAAGTGTACTTTTGCCATCACAAAACAGACAAAATCATCCATTATCAGCATCAGATCTGCATCATCTGACAAACCTGTCTGTCATTTATCTGTATCAGGCCACAATTATATATTTTATTATCTTCTTCCAGTTACCACTGTCACCTTTACCCCCACCCTGAGAACGACGAGGAGAGGGCAGATGTGATGGACAGCCTAAGGACACGCATCCAGGACTTAAACAATGTATGTACAGTTGAAGTCGGAAGTTTACATACACTTAGGTTGGAGTCATTATAACTCGTTTTCAACCACTCCACACATTTCTTGTTAACAAACTATAGTTTTGGCAAGTCGGTTAGGACATCTACTTTGTGTATGACACAAGTAATTTTTCCAACAACTGTTTACATACAGATTATTTCACTTATAATTCACTGTATCACAATTTCAGTGGGTCAGAAGTTTACATACACTAAGTTGACTGTGCCTTTAAACAGCTTGGAAAATTCCAGAAAATTATGTCATGGCTTTAGAAGCTTCTGATAGGCTAATTGACATCATTTGAGTCAATTGGAGGTGTACCTGTGGATGTATTTCAAGGCCTACCTTCAAACTCAGTGCCTCTTTGCTTGACATCATGGGAAAATCAAAAGAAATCAGCCAAGACCTCAGAAAAAAAATTGTAGACCTCCACAAGTCTGGTTCATCCTTGGGAGCAATTTCCAAATGCCTGAAGGTACCACGTTCATCTGTACAAACAATAGTACGCAAGTATAAACACCATGGGACCACGCAGCCGTCATACCGCTCAGGAAGGAGACGCGTTCTGCCTCTTAGAGATGAACGTACTTTGGTGCGAAAAGTGCAAATCAATCCCAGAACAATAGCAAAGGACCTTGTGAAGATGCTGGAGGAAACAGGTACAAAAGTCTCTATATCCACAGTAAAACGAGTCCTATATCGACATAACCTGAAAGGCCGCTCAGCAAGGAAGAAGCCACTGCTCCAAAACCGCCATAAAAAAGCCAGACTTTGTTTGCAACTGCACATGGGGACAAAGATCGTACCTTTTGGAGAAATGTCCTCTGATCTGATTAAACAAAAATAGAACTGTTTGGCCATAATGACCATCGTTATGTTTGGAGGAAAAAGGGGGTGCTTGCAAGCCGAAGAACACCATCCCAACCTTGAAGCACGGGGGTGGCAGCATCATGCTGTGGGGGTGCTTTGCTGCAGGAGGGTCTGGTGCACTTCACAAAATAGATGGCATCATGAGGAAAGAAAATGATGTGGATATATTGAAGCAACATCTCAAGACATCAGTCAGGAAGTTAAAGCTTGGTCGCAAATGGGTCTTCCAAATGGACAATGACCACAAACATACTTCCAAAGTTGTGGCAAAATGGCTTAAGGACAACAAAGTCAAGGTATTGGAGTGGCCATCACAATGCCCTGACCTCAATCCTATAGAACATTTGTGGGCAGGACTGAAAAAGCGCGTGCGAGCAAGGAGGCCTACAAACCTGACTCAGTTACACCAGCTCTGTCAGGAGGAATGGGCCAAAATTCACCCAACTTATTGTGGGAAGCTTGTGGAAGGCTACCCGAAACGTTTGACCCAAGTTAAACAATTTAAAGGCAATGCTACCAAATACTAATTGAGTGTATGTAAACTTCTGACCCACTGGGAATGTGATGAAAGAAATAAAAGCTTAAATAAATTATTCTCTATTATTATTCTGACATTTCACATTCTTAAAATAAAATGGTGATCCTAACTGACCTAAGACAGGGAATTCTTACTAGGATTAAATGTCAGGAATTGTGAAAAACTGAGTTTAAATGTATTTGGCTAAGGTGTATGTAAACTTCTGACTTCAACTGTATATGTCTCTGTCTTGTTATGTCTATGTCATGTTGAGGGCAAAGCCCAAACAATGGATGACAGTTGTATGAAAGATGATGGCTAGATGATTTGCATTGACACTAGTAACAAGACTATATGCAAATGCTTGAAGGTGCAAAATCGTGTAAATGTCCCCTGGCTTCACCAGGTGCTCCACCGCACTGAGGAGTACCTGAGGCAGGTGCTGCAGAAGGCCTCAGAGTCAGCTTTCACCTGGGTAGTGCAGGTGAAGAAGATGAAGGCCATCTACCACATCCTCAACCTGTGTAGCTTTGACGTCACCAACAAGTGTCTCATAGCGGAGGTGTGGTGCCCTGTCAATGACCTGACCAACCTGCGGGGGGCGTTGGAGGAAGGCTCGGTGAGTGAGGCTGTTGATACTGTAGTCCTACAGATACGCAGGTTGACGTTTATTGGGATGAGTTTTGTCCTGATCGATTTCCTCTAGATTGGCCACATTGTAAAAATTAACGAAAACAAAAATGAGCTTTTTGGTCTTAATTTAAAGTTACGGTTAGGCATTAGGGTTAGTGTGGTTAAGGTTAGGTTTAAAATCAGATTTGATGACTTTGTGGCTGTGCCAGATAGTAACCACTCTGCAGAGCTGCCTCCAGTCCATGAGTCATCCCAATAAATGCTAACCTGCTACAGATACAGTAGTTCGTTTTGTCAAATCTGGCAGTAGTGTATAAATGTAATACATGCAATTTTACCTTATCAGAGAAAAGGTGACGCCACTGTACCATCCTTTGTAAACCGAATCCCAAGTAACGACACTCCGCCTACGCTCTTGAGAACAAACAAGTTCACATCTGGCTTTCAGAGTATCGTAGAGGCTTATGGGGTTGGAGACTACAGGGAGGCTAGTCCAGGTGAGTACAAATACAGTTCGCAGACAGACCTACAGGTAAGCTAGTTTGGAACACTTCAGACACAACATTTAGGCAAGCTCAGCTGAGCACTATTATAGCATTACAAGTACGACTAACCACTACATGTAATGCAGACTGGTCAGGTTGAGCACAGTTACATAGGACTGAATGAAAGCTAGCAAAGTTGTCCACGCTGATCATGTTTATCTCTGATTGGCAGCCCCCTACACCATCATTACGTTCCCGTTCCTGTTTGCGGTCATGTTTGGGGACCTTGGTCACGGTGTGGTCATGGCATGCTTTGCCCTGTGGATGGTGCTGACAGAGAAGAGCCACAAGCGCAAGCGCTCTGATAATGAGGTAAGAACGTTTAAAGTGTCATTTCTATCACATTCTACTGTGTTTTTGTAGTTGTCTTGATTTTTTTGTGTAGATTTGGATATATTTCCATTAATATTGGTATTGGTTTCTCTGTTGTCCTCAGATCTGGACAATATTCTTCGAGGGACGTTATATCATACTAATGATGGGCCTTTTTTCTGTGTACACGGGGCTGATCTACAATGACTGCTTCTCCAAGTCACTTAACATATTTGGCTCAGGCTGGAGTGTTAGGGCTATGTTCACAGATCAGCAGTGGACGTGAGTCATCAAAACGAACACACAAAAACATGCACATTATTACATTCACAAGCACAGTATGCACATACATTTTTGTCAGTGTACCTGTAGATGTGAATGTGTAGTTCTCATTTAGCCGTAACTGGCTGAGGTTACTGTACTCATCTTCACCTTTTATTCCAGAAATGAAACGCTCCAAACAAATGCTTTGCTCATCCTTGATCCTAATGTCAGTGGTGTCTTCGTTGGACCATACCCTTTTGGCATTGATCCTGTGAGTATACATGCACACAGACACAAAGAAAAAGTGTCAGATGCTACACACACAAACACACAATCATATACTCTTCCTTGTGCCCTTCCTCGTGCCTTTCACTGATCCCAAATATACAGATATTGACATTGTCTGATGTTATGTTAATTTTATGCTTTGTATCACACCCACAGATATGGAACATGGCAGTGAATCGTCTGTCCTTCCTAAACTCCTACAAGATGAAGATGTCCGTCATCATAGGGGTCATGCACATGAGCTTTGGGGTGGTGCTTAGTGTATTCAACCATCTGTGAGTGAGCAGTTAGTGGTTCCTAACAGTAGTTACTACTGTGGAATACAAAACATCAGAAAGAGTTTCTCTAAATGTAAATAAATCCGTTCCTCCCCTTCCCTTCCCTCTTCCATTTATCCAGGCACTTCAAACAGAGGTTCAACGTCTACCTGCTGTTCCTCCCTGAGTTGCTGTTCCTGCTGTGTCTCTTTGGCTACCTGGTCTTCATGATCCTCTACAAGTGGCTGGCATTCGGTGCACGTGACTCCCGCCTGGCCCCCAGCATCCTCATCCACTTCATCAACATGTTCCTAATGCAGGGAGGGGACAACACCCCTCTCTACCCCGGACAGGTGGGTGTTAGTGACGGGGTCATGATTCCGAGTGTCCCCCCTCACTCTGGGTTTTCTCAGCATCTCTATCTGAATCTCTGAATGTCTCTTTTGACCATCTCTGTCCATGTGGCTCTGTGTTTGACCCTGTGTATTTTTACTCCACAGACTGGGCTGCAGGTCTTCCTGGTGGTGGTGGCTCTGCTGTCTGTGCCTGTGCTGCTGTTAGGAAAACCTGTCTACCTCTACTGGCTGCACCGTGGAGGGAAGAGCCTGCGATTGCGCAGGGTGAGTATGGTGGAAAGAGTCATGTCATGAGTTTATTACCCATGTGTTTTCAGTGAATAATGTATGTGAACATTTTAATGTCTGTGGTCTGTATTTTAGGGTTATGAGAGAGTTCGGCGTGTGAGTGAGGATGAAATGTCCCAAACACCAGCATACGATGATGATGAGGAAGAGGGATTGGATGACCTTATGACCAGAAGGGACACCCAGCCTAAGGAGGTCAAAACCGCAACTGTACATACTGTACATCTCATATAAACATTTGAGTAGAACAGTTGGATTTCAGACCTCACTGTTACCTTTCTATTTAGCAATGTGTTGTCCATCTTTCAGTTTGACTTTGGGGATGTGTTCCTACACCAGGCCATCCACACCATAGAGTATTGCCTGGGCTGCATCTCCAACACAGCATCTTACCTACGCCTCTGGGCCCTCAGTTTGGCCCATGCTCGTAAGTATCATACTCAATATGCCTTAAAAAGGCCACAGGGGGGCAATTACTATCAATTACTGTCTCCATGTTCAGATATTGATCCATACATCTCCCTCTTACTGTGTGTCCATCTATGTGTTTGTCAGAGCTTTCCGAGGTGCTGTGGGCCATGGTGATGCGTCTGGGCCTGAGGATGACCTCCAGACTGGGTGTGCTGTTTCTGGTACCAGTGTTCAGCCTGTTCGCTGTGCTCACTGTGTCCATCCTGCTAGTCATGGAAGGGCTCTCAGCCTTCCTCCATGCCCTCCGGCTGCACTGGTGAGTCAGTCTTTATGCTTAACTAAATGATGCCTTACTGACTGACTCATTCAGTCAGTCAATCAATCACTCTCTGTTAATCACTCATCCACTCTCACAAACTCTCTCATTCCCCAGTGGTCACCTACTCAGTAGACTTTTTTTCATCATCTTTAACTCTCTTTTAATTATTCACTCAGTCATTTGTTCACACATGCATTCATACTGGTTATTTACATATGTGAATGCTCTCCTTTGTAGGGTGGAGTTCCAGAACAAGTTCTATCATGGGACGGGTATCAAGTTTGCCCCCTTCGACTTCTCTGCCCTGCCCTCAGTCTTTGAGCAGGACGGTTTACTGTGACCAGCGACAACCAGATTCACTGGATTTGAATAGGAAAACATGTACCAGGAAGGATGCTCTGAGTTAGAGCAAGATGGCACACTGATGAAGAGGAGAAACTGCAGAGCAGTGGTGTGATGACTTGTAGCAAAGTTTTTCAGCATATGACTTTTGACACTATTGGCTGCACTGACTGCCTTACATCATCATTGCGTCCATATCCAGCTAACCTCAATTCCTGAATTAAAAAGTCTTCATCTAGGTCTGTTGATATGTACTTTGTACTATTCTGGAGGAATTGATGCATCTCATGTAATGGTCACATTAAGCCAATTTTGTGGCTCTGAGCATTTTATTCGCTTTTTGTAGGAAATTATAGTGTTTTTTAAAGTTAATTTATTACTTGACTCATATTCATCCGAGGCAACTTTTAAAGTACAGAAGAAAAAATATATAGAATCAAAACATAAAGGACAGAAGGTCATATCAAATATCCTGATTTCTAGTGCCATAACAATTTCTTACCGATAATGACAAATGTGAATACCACGGCTGCTAATTGTGCAGTTTTTCACATTGCTTATCCACATGAATACAACTTTGGACAAATAGTACTGTATAATGAATTATAAACTTGTAGAACATATGTTCCTCCGTTATTGCTGTTATCTCCTTGTGGCATTCCGGGGAGGATAAAAGATGACAGCGCAATTACGTATTTTTGCAGAGGACATTGCCACAGAGCACTTTTCAAAGAACAATGCAGAAATGATTGTACAATAAAAGCATTTTCACTGATGACTATTACTCTGGTGATGCCAAATGTTAGGAGATACTTATACCAAGACAAATTGCACAGGCTTGAAATATTTTTTCACATTTTTGGCTTTACTTTCATGGTTATGGACATCCCCTGAAGTTGACTTGAAGCTCAAATAATAATTTTTTTACACATTAATTGGACTCTGACCATAGACTGTTTGATCAGTTTGATAAGTCTGGATTGTGTCTGTAGTGAAAGGGAGGGAGGTGCAATATATTTGCTAGTTGGTGAATTGATTACTGGTATCATCATGATTCATGCCATTTAGCTACATGTATTTATTTATGTCTTTGTAAGAAGTTAGGATCTTAATCCTTTTTTAGACATAGTTTTTGGATGTGATGTACAAATGCCAGCAAATAAAGAGTCAATGCTCAATACCATGAATACAGACTAATCAATTACATTTTCTAGATCTTGGAAATATATCTAATTGAATATGCCACAAATAGAATAGGTATTCCAGGTAGCTGACTTACAAGTTCCTGTGTGGATGAAAGTTTTCTTCAGATTGATGCCACGTCCATTCACACTTTTACTGAAGTGTGTCAGAGAGGAAGAGGCAAAGCAGAAAGTTTTACTCAGCCCAAAATCTGTCCACGAAAATATGCCCACGAAATAAGGAATTTTTGGATGGAGGTCAATGATAGAGTATCGAATTTGGTCAACAAAAAATGTAATTGCCAATTTGCCATGTGAGGGTTATTTGATGTAATATTTTGTAATGGTTTGGTTGTTACGAATGCACTGATATAAGTGTACGCACGTGGCATTTCGGCAACTTTGAAAAAGAATGACTTTATATCAGAGTTGTGCCTGTTGGCGCAGAGATAGATAGAGGACTCATCATGGATATAACCCATTTTAGCGAGAAAATTGCCATTGAGGGCTTCCACCATTTTAAAGTAGTCAACTGAGTGAGGATTCCTATGAGTTGGGAGCAATCAGCCAATGAAGAAGACAATTGACTACTTTAAAATGGAGATAGCCTCAATGGCACAGCCCATGCTGTCACAGACAGTATAATGACACAGATACAAATATGAGTCCTCTATCTTTATGGCCTGTTGTTCACACGCGTATCTGCCCTCTCATTGGCTAGAATGGTCCCACCTGATCTCGCATCCTACGGCCTGCCTTCCATCTTTGAGGAGATCTATTTCCATTGTTTTAGCAGTCACTTGACTATCTTGTCAATACAATAGACAATCTTCGACTGTGTCCAGTCCCCAGGGTTTCCACTAGTTACCACAGCTACAAAGTCAAAATGGCTATATTGTAAAGATTCATAACAACAGGTTAGGATTGAGGTTAGGATTAGGTTTAAAATCAGATTTTAAGAAGATAAATGGTAGTAGAAGCAGCAGTGTGTAGGAGGGAGATTCATAGATGTGAGAAGTGTGCAGGAGGACATGAGACAAAGGAATATGTAGTATCGATGGAAAAACTTGTGTGTGTAAACTGTAGGGGTACCCATGGTGCTGGAGATCAGAGGTGTCCGGCGAGAGAAAGGCAGGTTGAGGTTGCCAGGATCAGAGTAGTGCAGAAGGTGTTGTATGCTGATGCAGTAAAGAGAGTAGTAGAGGAAGATGTGTCCAGGGTGAAGGATCCTAAGAGGATCCTTGTGAGTAGGCCGAGGCCAATAGAGAGTGATAGGAATAACGTGCTTCAGTAAGGTTGGTTTTTTTGGCGTTCATGGCCATGGTTGTCAATTGTACAGCAGGAATGGAACGTAAATCACAGAGGATAGATGTTGTGGTGGCAGCTGCAGAGAACTACTTGGGTGTACGAGATTTTACTGTGTGTCCATCTATGTGTTTGTCAGAGCTTTCCGAGGTGCTGTGGGCCATGGTGATGAGTCTGGGCCTGAGGGCATACAGGTGGACAATCGGGCAGAAGGTGGTAGAATATGGACTGGGGGAGAGAGAGATGGGCCCGGCAATTGCATTGGGGAACATTCCTCCATGGCTGTTTCTGAAACCAAGTGTAGATGTGGACATGATTGAGGGCAGGAGAGAATGGGGTGAGGGCGTGAGAGGAGAGATATATAGATATTCGTTTTTATTCGTTTTTAAGGATATATAAAGATGGTTCAAAGGATCAGGTCAGTGGAAGGGTGGGGGCTGGGGTGTTTTCAATGTTAGAGTATGTAAGCGGTTAACTGATTATGGCTGCAGTGTTGAGTAGTGTGAAGACGGGCAGGTCGGATAGGGGAGACTTGTTTGTGGAGAGGTGTGGAAGGTAATGAGATGGCCGATGTGGTGGCTAAGAGTGCGGTGAGGAGAGAGGTGGTAGATATTCAGGTCCTGCTGGGCCGCAGGGAAGTCAAGTCCTTGATCCGGGCAAAAGGGCTCCATTTTTGGCAAAGGGAGTGGGATGCTAGTAGTAAGGGGAGGCAATTTTATCACGTGCATCGGTCAGTAAAGGAAGAGGAGGGAGTATGGGATGTAGGAGAGAGGAAGTTGTGTGGAGTAGCCTACGGTTTGGACATACAGGTTTGAATGCCATGTTGTGGATGATGGGGAGACATGAAACAGATCTGTGTGATGAGTGTTTAGTGGAGGAAACGGTGGAGCATGTGTTGATATTTTGTGAACTGTATGACGTAGATAGGGAGATATTGTGTGAAAGGGTTAGAGAGGATGGACGGGATTGGGGTTTGGGTGGTGTAGTGGCAGAAAGGAATTGGTGTCTAGGTCTCATATTTCACTTTCTTAGAGGAACATGACTAATGAAGAGAATTTAATGTACACTGAACAAAAATATAAACGCAACATGTAAAGTGTTGGTCCCATGTTTTATGAGCTGAAACAAAAGATCCCAGAAATGTTCCATATGCACAAAAAGCTTATTTCTCTCAAATTCTGTGTACAATTTTGTTTACATCCCTGTTAGTGAAGATTTCTCCTTTGCCAAGATAATCCATCCAATTGACAGGTGTGGCATATCAAGAAGCTGATTAAACAGCATGATCATTACACAGGTGCACCTTGTGCTGGGAACAATAAAGGCCACTCTAACATTTGTAGTTTTGTTACACAACACAATACCACAGATGTCTAACATTTTGAGGGAGCGTGCAATTGGCATGCTGACTGCAGAAATGTCCACAAGAGCTGTTGCCAGATAATTTAATGTTAATTTCCCTACAATAAGCCACCTCCAACATTGTTTTAGAGAATTTGGCAGTACGTCCAACCGGTCTCACAACCGCAGACCACGTGTATGGTATTGTGTGGGCGTGCGGTTTGCTGATGTCAACATCATGAACAGAATGCCCCATGGTGGCGGTGGGGTTATGGTATGGGCAGGCATAAGCTACAGATAACAAACACAATTGCATTTTATCTATGGCAATTTGAATGCACAGAGATACCTTAACGAGATCCTGAGGCCCATTGTAGTGCCATTCATCCGCTGCCATCAACGCATGTTTCAGCATGATAATGCACAGCCCCATGTCGCAAGGATCTGTATACAATTCCTGGAAGCTGAAAATGTCCCAGTTCCATTGAGCATGTTTGGGATGCTCTGGATTTACATGTATGACAGCGTGTTCCAGTTATCGCCAATATCGAGCAACTTCGCACAGCCATTGAAGAGCAGTGGGACAACATTCCACAGGCCACAATCAACACCCTGAAGAACTCTATGAGAAGGAGATGTGTCGCGCTGCATGAAGCAAATGGTGGTCACACCAGATACTGACTGGTTTTCTGATCCACGCCCCTATTTTTTTTTAAAGGTATCTGTGACCAGCAGATGCATATCTGTATTCCCAGTCATGTGAAATCCATCGATTAGGTCCTAATGAATTTATTTCAATTGACTGATTTCCTTATATGAACTGTAACTCAGTAAAATCTTTAAAATTGTTGCATGTTTCACATTTTTGTTCAGTATAGTTAGGACGTGACTGGCCTCACACTCCAGTACAGTAGGTGGTGGTGTATGCACATTGAAAGTTGGATGCAATCCGCTAACCCAATACCAAAGAAGAAGAAGCAAAACTAGTGACGACCAGTCCCGTTTTGTGTGCAGGAAACATTGCTCAAACCGACTGTGGAGTTTATCATACAGGGATATGTACAGTGAGGGAAAAAAGTATTTGATCCCCTGCTGATTTTGTATGTTTGCCCACTGACAAAGAAATGATCAGTCTATAATTTTAATGGTAGGTTTATTTGAACAGTGAGAG